GTGTCCTCCTCTCCATCATGCAGCAGTCCAGCCCTTCGAAATCCGTTGGTGATCATGGATGTTTTCACACTTTTCCACGCTGTCAGATTCCACCGGTGGAGTTGAGCATAACTTGCTTTTCGCAAGTTTATCGCCGCTCGTCATCCACGCCTCCCGCTGAACGCGTAGCGCTACTTTGAAGTTTGTTTTTCGCGCTACTTGTACGGCACTATGTTGCCTGGCGGATGGACACGTGACCAACATACCACTCTTGAACCCCGATACTGTGTGTCTGATCACATGCCCTTCCGCCAGGCAACGTAGTGCCGTACAACAGCGGAACAAACAAAACAAATCGTCTTACGATATGACAAAAATCATGGACAATCCATAGAAAAGAAGCACCTGACTAAAAAGTAGCGGCTTATAGGCCGACAATTACGGTACCTGTGTTCTTGGTTTGACAGTGCCTACTGACTTTCCTCTCCAGTGATGTAAGTGCAAGTAGCCTTGGTTGGGGCAGTATTCCCAAAGTTATGGGGTGGCTGTTGCTCAGGAGGTAGAGCGGGTCATCTACTAATCGGAAGGTTGGTAGTTCAATCCCTGGCTGCTCCAGTCTGCATTCCATATACCCTTGGACAAGATAGTAACCCGAAGTTTCTCTACGATGCATCCATCGGAGTCTGAATGTGTGAATGTTAGATAGAAAGCACTTATGTAAAAAACCATTTACAAGTTTGGTAAGTAGTGGGTCTACATGGGATCCACAGTGGAGTTACCTCTCTGCTACTCCGTTGACAGTAGTTAGCATCCCCACAGGACAGACCCGCTTCAAAAGCTTGAGAGTCCCCTGCCTTTCTGGGCGGTGTGCACAGGACGGCACTGAGTTCGCTTGTACTCCTGTCCGAGAGCCCTCAGCACACTGATATATGCAGTTGGGTCACAAATGTATCGTTTAGCACACTTGATAACTTCAGGTGAGCTAATAAGATCTTGTAATCCTCGGACAAATGCTTATGAGGACCAAGAACATCACTCAGTCCTTCCTGTAGCAGGGCTAAGCTGCTCTCCTTCCCAGAGCTGAAACCAGTAAGATACTTCTAACATGCTGGGTTAGAAACTCTAATGACCAGCTGCTGGTGGCACAGGCTTAATGAATCATGATAAGGTCTACTGGGCAAAAGAGGGGGGTGGTCTGGTTGAAGTGTTCCAGGTAGCCCACATACCTGTGCTGGCTGCAATAACTCTGGGTACAAGAGCTGGAGCAGGTCTGGATGCAGGTGTAAGAAGATAGTCCGGATGTGGTGGCGCGACTCTGGCGACAGATGCCGATGCATCCATATTGGCTGTCGGTGACCAAACATAACCAGTGGAGCTTTTGAATGTGCAGCTTTGAATTGTTTCCCCAACTGGACAAAGCAATGAGACATACTTTTGTACTCTGTGTGTTTCCCTCAGGTAGTGGAGGACTGCTACAACATCCTGAAGGAGTATGGCTTCCGCTTCGTGAGGAGAGGGCCCATCTTTGTGAAGGGGAAAGGAGAGCTGCTCACTTATTTTCTGAAGGGAAGAGACAAACAAGGCTCATTTATCAACGGCTCCTCTGTCACTCTGCCACATCAGGTGGTGGATAGTTGAGGACTTATCTGTCTGTCACACACTCATGCACTGATCGGTCATAGGCTGTGTGAAGAGTCGTGCAGGGGAAAGAAGTGAATTGATTTAAAGTCCTGGGAAACCTGAAACTATAACTGAACCGAAGCCTAATTCATTTACAAACTTCATAAACATGAACTGGTGTATTCTCTGTCTGTACAGAAAGATGTACAGATGCCACAAGAGTCTGTATTTGATTTTGAAGATGATTTCAGTTTAGCAGTATATATTTAAATCAAGATGTTCGAATAAATTGAGAAGATTAGAAGCTGAGGGCACCAAACAGATAGGAGATTAAAGGGAAACCTGATTCTTTGACTGTGACACTGAGGGGACTGATCGATGATGCTGTCAAGGTTTGAAGTTCTTACTTCTTAAATAAGGAGTTACATGGAAATTCATAATATTGGGTTAAACAGGTTAAACAGAACTCTTGCTTTGGACGGATACTGCAGAACAAATTATTCATCATTTGGAAGTTTTTTTCTTTTTGTCCTCGTGTCACCCTTCCTGAAACCATAGGCACAGAAACATTTACCAAAAGGAGACTTTAGTGTAATGAAACACCCAGTAACACACCACACGGGTCAAATCTGTGCAGATTTGTTTTATAAACCACTCCGTTTGATGACAAATGCACTTGTAGCTTAAAATGAATCCAGGTACTGAATATACAGATAGTAAAGTATTACAGTGTTACCTCAGACACACAGCTAATACTACTGACGTGATTTCTCTGCATCCTTAGATTTGACAGCAAGAGCTCAAACTGGCCCATTAACATCCTGGGTGGCTGTAGCTCAGGACGTAGAGCAGGTCCTCTACTAATCACGAGGTTCACCGTTTGCTCCCTGCCTGCTGTAATCTTCATTGGGCAAGATACTAACCCCAAATTGCTCTCCAGTGCATCCATTGGCATGTGAACATTAAATAAAAAGCACATAAGCATAAAAAACGTGCTGGAGCACGAGGTATAAAACGAGTCCCTTTACCATCCTGCACAGCTTTCACTCCTGGATCAGGCCATGAAGCTCTCCCTGCTGCTCCTTCTGTTGAATCATAGTTTCTTTGTTTCCTCATTTAGAAACATCAGGACCTGTCTCTGCTTCAGCACTTAAACCGATGCATTTAAGAAGCACTCCCCTTTAGCAAACCATGGTATGTGCAAAGGAAGTGTTGCTTTTGTTACAGCAGAGATTGTTAGCTTTGGCTGGTACAGTCCAAGCAAACTTTTAAACATTTCTCTCTCTGTCTCTCTCACTAATCTCTCCTCTGGAGCAATAAAAATGTATTTTAGGCATAAACTTAAATTTTACTGCAGGAGGTGAGTCAGTAAGATAGATCATTGACTCAATTCAATTTTATTTACACAGCGCCAAATCACAACAACAGTCACCTCAAGGCGCTTTATATTGTACAGTAGATCCTACAATAATAGATACAGAGAAAACCCAACAATCATATGAGCCCCTATGAGCAGCACTTTGGTGACAGTGGGAAGGAAAAACTCCCTTTTAACAGGAAGAAACCTCCAGCAGAACCAGGCTCAGGGAGGGGCGGGGCCATCTGCTGTGATTGGTTGGGGTGAGAGAAGGAAGACAGGATAAAGACATGCTGTGGAAGAGAGACAGAGGTTAATAACAGATATGATTCAATGCAGAGAGGTCTGTTAACACAAGAACTTGTATATAAGGAGCTTTTGAATTCAGTTCTGGATTTAACAGGAAGCCCATGAAGGAGAAATCTGCTCTCCTTCTCAGCACAGACGAGACACACAGTGGCCACAGCCTGATCATCCGACTGCATTCGATTAGACTTGATCTGTGACTGTTACTGGGTCGGACGTGGTAGCGCAGTAGTGACATGAGGCAGATGCTGTGTGACTGATGGAAAAGAGTGCATGCTTGAAGGAAGCGCTTGACTTAAGCAAAACATTTTAAATAAATGATCCTAATTGTAAAGACAGGCGGGACACAACAACATGTGGACTGGTTGGGAGTAAACCAGACACTGAGACTGTGGATCATCAGAGTAGGATAGGCTCAGGGTCTTTTTGCCCAACAGCAGATTGACCAAATCTTTGGCTTCTGTAACCAGATTAGTTCTTTGAGTTCAGCATTTCAGTATGAGAAACACACTGATGGGCTACACCTCTTTCATGAATGTATCTGATTTTTTTCAAAACAATGGAGATTTCTCTCTTGTGCGCTCACAATCCTCTTTAGTAACTAAGCACCATGTCCTCATCACGTGGACACACGGTGGGTTTGCACAGCGTGTATGTTGGAGTTCATCCTCAGTTACTAAAAGCCTGACAGCCTTCACCGGTCCTGCCTCTGAGTCGGATTCAACCAGTGAGGGACAACGGTGTGATCATACAGACTCGTTTGCTGCTCGTCTGCTGTGGTGGAAGAAGCGTGTGCAGCATCGAATGTATGTTTTTTCCTCGATTCTGAAATGGGACACATCTCCCAGCTCTCCTCAGCTGCACCGCTCCACTGGCTTCTGTGTCTTGAAGCTGTGTCAGATGGATAGCAGAGGTGTTTTTGAAGTGGGCGGACAAGCTGTGGATAAGTGCACACGACAGCTGGGACATGTTGAGAATTCATTTTTGCAGTAGAAGCGAGCTTCTCCTGTTTGTTTCCCTCCACTGTCAACGCCTGTCTTCAGTTTGTTTTGGTAGTTCTGATACGATTTCTTGGTCTCACTGGTTCCAAAAAACCTGTTGACATGAAAACTGGCCCCTAACCCTAACAGCTCCATTTTCAGACTTGTCATGCGTTTGTGTTAGTGCACCAGTCCTGCTCTCTTCTTGTGAATATACCTCCACTTGGGGCAGCCACTGGCTCCCAAACCAGAGCGGCCATCCCAGTACAAGCTGGAGGTCATATCTTGATGAAACCAACAGAACTGCATCATCTGGGAAAAGCAGAGACGAGACAAACCCCCCCCCCAGCCTCACCCCGAGGTTTGCCTACCCAACAGACTCTTCTCTTCAGCACCTTTGCACCCCTCGCTGGCCACGTCCCTACTGATGATGCACAACGAGACAGCGAGTCCCAATGTGTAGCACTTTCCCCGCCCTGCCCCACGACTCCAAACAGCATAGTTATTCTGAACAGCTGTTTGGGGTGTAACTACTAATAGCCAGAACCTGTTTCCCCGTCCGATGGAGCACTGAGGAAAACTCTGATCTACAGGCTTCATGCTTCTCTCACCCCAACCGGTCGCAGTAGATGGCCTCGCCCCTCCCTGAGCCTGGTTCTGCCGGAGGTTTCTTCCTGTTAAAAGGGAGTTTTTCCTTCCCACTGTCGCCAAAGTGCTTGCTCATAGGGGGTCATATGATTGTTGGGTTTTTCTCTGTATCTATGAAGCGCCTTGAGGCGACTGTTGTTGTGATTTGGCGCTATATAAATAAAATTGAATTGAATTGAATTGGGGACACAAGTAAACCTCACCTGTCCATTTCTTCTTCATGAAACTGGTCCCACAACCTGAGCTGTACACGTATCTCTCACCCTCACACACTCTGGGTCCTTCCCAGCAAACAGATGACATTCAGCATCACCTGAAGCCAGTTTAAGCAGTCAGTGATTGGATCACCATGATCTCTGTCCCCAGTGAACCAACAGACGTTTCCAGGAGAGAAAATGGGACAAGCAGTGAGATCTGCCCTTCCTGTACTTGTGCCCATAGTTATGTGCGCTGTCATTAGCTTTATTATTATAGCTTCAGTTTAGGTTCAGTCTCCTGATGAGATGTTTTAGCTTGTCCAGAGAAACATGATTGCACTGTAGCTCAGTGAATGCAAATCTTCGTTGAGCTGGTATTGTACTGCAACTGAGTGAAGTAAGAGGCCGGGTGAGAAGCAACATCAGCTGACCAAGTCTCATAGTCACTGAATCAGCTGCTCCCTGAATCCACCTGCACAGCAGGACAGGTGACACGAGTTCTTTGACATTTCAGAGCCAGTTTTGGACGGTGTTTTAGGAAGTAGGAAGCAACAACTCTGTATGAGTGCGATGTACACGATGGCCTTGACATAACAGCAGCAGTCACTGCTCTTTCCTCTGTTTATTGTTACTGTCTGTAAAAAGGGAAGAAAGTGCAATAGTCTGTTCTTCTGCACCCAGATGCTCTTCATTCCTTCCCCTTTAATTCACATTTTCATAATGTGATCTTTTTTCTTTGTAAAAACGAAGAGGACAGGATGTATTCTTGTATATAGAGTTTACACAGTGTTTACTGGTTAAATGTATTTATTGGAAATGACAGGGATGCTTTTTTCCTCCACACATGTGAAAGTGCCAATGATGAAACGATGGCTTTAGGTTTGAATGCCGTAACATGGTCTAAGGCTGTTTTCTGAATTTTATTTTTAAGAATCTCAGGATTGGGAACAAACTAGCACTTTCAACAATGTATGAGCTCAGACATGAATCCATGTTTTAGGTGCAACTGTGTGGGTTTTTTCTAAGCTGAACACAAACACACTCCGGCTGTTGGTGTTAGAAGTAAAGAACAAGTCGCCTCCTGTGGTTCTTGTTACTGCGCTGATTTTGATCGTTTTTCACGCCTTCCCAATCGTTTGTTAAATCCTTTCTTATTTAATGTGCCCTCTCTCCTTTGAGTTGTTGGTTATCACTTACTGATTAAAGAACTATACTGATAAATCTCAGTGTCGTGATTACTGCACAGCCCATTGAGACAACTGATTTGTGATTTACTCAAAATCCGGAAAGCGACTGCGTTCGGACGGTGATGATCAGCTAATTAATGAGAAAACATTCAGGTTAAAAAACTAGGAGCATGTTTGAACCATGCATACAGATGTGCACAGACCACAACTTTCCACAGAGATTAAACTCCATGTTATGATACTGCACAGCTGCGAATGTGAATGTGGAAGTTTGTCATAGATTAAAAAAAGACTAATTAAATGATGCACAACTGTGTCTGACTTTATGTGCAATGTGTTCTCTTCAGTGATCCACGCGTGTCAGTAGAGCCTAAATGTTCACGTCACCCTTAAAACGAATGCTGGGAGATGTGAAGGTCGCGCTCAGGCGGGGAAACAGCGACGCCTAACGGTGACGCACAGCAAACAAGAAGGACGTGAAGGAATTTCCGCTGACGTCACCGCGTATGGCCATATCAGGGCTGCAGCTGTCCGAGAGCAACAATAACAAGCGCTACTCCGCAGCCTGAGCGCAGCTTTAACGGCGCTGACAGCACCGAATACCGTCGAAATGCTCAAAATGCAGCTTTCGAATTAACTCTGCCGTTTGTTTCTTTGTCCTCCGAGCTGACCTCCGGCTGTCGTTCACGCTGACGCCGCCGAACACAGACTCGGGCGCAGGGGGAGCTTTGCAATTTGCGGCTGCATCTGGGTCAGTGGGCCCGACGTTAACCGCACCAGAGGTTTGCTTATCCCCGTGGACCTGTCAGCTGTTCGTACACGCACCATATCGCCGTTATAAACCGTGGCAACATGGAGGCTAACGGTGGAGGACAGGACCGGGATTCCGAGCTCTCCTGTCGAAACGGTACTCAGAATGGCGAGTCGTCCTCCACCGTGGCCGCTCACTCCAACGGACTTATCTCGGTAACCAACAATGGCAACGCTGTCAGCAACAACAACGGAGTGGCAGCCCAGCCCGCCTCCAACAACAACAGCAGCAGCAGCGCGGCGGATGGCGGGTCGGGTGTCAAGAAGAAGAAGCGCCTGACTCAGTCCGAGGAGGATGTCATCAGGCTCATAGGACAACATCTGAACGATTTAGGTCTCAAGTAAGTGAGCCAGCTCAGGTAGCTAGTGTTGTTATCAGCACAGCCAGCCGCGGTGAGGGCAGGTCACCGTGAAGATGCTGAGGATGCATCCTTCCTCACGCGTTTATCTGCAGGTGCAGAGCGATAGAGGAGTAGGCCCGCTCAGGGCAAAGTGTCACATACACGCTAATAAACTGTATCCGACCCACGGTATCCGGACCTGTGTATCACCATACGCTGCAAATCTTATATGAGCTGTCAGAATAAGAAGACATCATACTGTGTCCAACGTGATCGCACAACTCAAGGCAATTTAAATCTGAAAGTCCTGCACAGATGTCATGCGTGGGGACTTTCCTGGGTTAGAGTGGCTCTTTGATAGCTGGCTACACGTTGTGTTTACGTGTAGTAACAGTAAGGACTCTGTGATAAGTGACACACATCTCTGCATTTTAATGCTTGTTACGTTTTTATATGAAGGATGGACCTTAATCTTATTATAGTCCAGCTTTTTATTTCACCCATGACACAACTTTGCAGTCAGTGTGTTGATAATTCTCACAGGTGAGTGCTGATGCTTCGCCATGCTCCGTAGTCATAACGTGGATGTTTCTTTTCGCTGTTCATAGCCAGACGGTGGACCTCCTGATGCAAGAGTCTGGCTGCAGACTGGAACACCCCTCTGCCACCAAGTTTCGCAATCACGTCATTGAAGGAGAGTGGGACAAGGTGCAACCAAGTTCTCCGAACTGCATATTAAATCTTTAGGAGGCTGTTACAGTAGTCATCGTAGGTTTGTGTGAGCTCTTTGCTGGTCTGTTAATGAGTATTTCTCCTTTTCATACAGGCTGAGAGTGACCTGAATGAGCTGAAGGCACTGATGCATTCTCCTAGTGCTATAGTGGTGAGTGGACCAAACCTCAGACAACATCAGTTCACCATGAAGTCTGCAGTCTGAACACTGAGCCAGAATCAGACTTAGAATAAAGCCTCTTTCCTCGAGCACAGACTGTACATTGATGGCATATCATACAGGTACACTTATAAACAGAACTGCAACCATCACACCTTCTATGCTGTTCTAAAGTAAACATGGCTGCCTGCAAGTTTGGCTAGCTAGGTTTGCTTACAGACAGACGAATGGTGCACCGCTAATCTTACCCAAAGCACTTTAGTCTAGACGACACATGTTATTCTGTCTGCACACTTCAGCAATGATCATTGGTTTGTTTGGGGTTTGTTTACTGCATCCACTGAGATTACACAGAGCAGTTTGAGATGAAATGATGAAAGACTGTTTACTGCACTTTTATTTTAGAAGTTCTTCCAAAGGAGTGCTAACTAACTGCTACGTGCAAACTAAACCAAATGAAAAACAAGTGTGACCTTTAACCTTTTAATTTAATAAACAAGAGAAACTAGAAAAACCAATGACCCCTGCTTCAGTGCTCTTTACAAATGGACAAGACCATTAACATTACCTTACACCAAACTCTTAAAGGCACAGATCACAGCAAACCTGACACACTGCTTCACAATATGGCCACTGTAGTGACAGTTAGCCAGCACCCAAATGTCCGAGACCAGGAGCCTCAGACGTTAGCCTGGTCGGCTGGACGTCTTTGGAGAAGCTGCACATTTTTGACTCTAAACTGTGTTTGCATGTTTTTCAGAGCTCCCACATGTCCACTCATTCTACACCACAGTGATTGAATAACAGATGAACAGCTAAATTACACCATCAGCACCAGAAATATCTGTTTGTTTGTACACCATGACTGTAAACAATACCAAAAGAAAAATCTATAAATAAACAGATACATAAAACATGTCTGTGAATGAACACAAAGCTAGTTTTCTGATCACAGGGCAGTGGTGCAGGTGAGGTTTTACACATTTATTTCTCACAGAGTCGTGCTGACAGATCAGTTACTACATTTCTTTATCGTGTAGCTGAGATCCTTGAAATCGCACTTCTGTTCTTTGTAATCGGATTAAATGTGTAGTTAAACTACTTTAAACAGAACAGTGACGTTCACTCGTCCAGCCCAGATCAAAGTGACTGTATCACACTGACATGATGGACGCAGCATGAACAGCCATTGTTAGTCTGGTTGGTAACTGCATTTTCATCTTGATGTTTAAAGTTCCTTTAGATGAGCCAGACGTGAGACGTGAAGCTCAGTAGCAACAGATTTGTGTTGTTACATGTCGGCTGATCCGTGGTGATCATTTAAATCCTTGTTTTTGTTTTTGCTCCCCGACAGCGGATGAAGTTCCTACTCCTGCAGCAGAAATATCTGGAATATCTGGAGGACGGGAAGGTGCTGGAGGCCCTGCAGGTCCTCAGAGCCGAACTCACCCCTCTCAAATATAACACGGAGCGCATCCACATCCTGAGCGGGTCAGTTCACAGCACACGAAGAAGCCGAGTGTGGTTCTGAGATGATGATGATGATGATGATGGAGAAATATAGCGTGCTGGGTATTTGCGTCACAATGATGGATGACAGATGTGTAGTTTGTTAAAAGCACGATGCCTTGAAAACATTTCGAGATACTGGCAGCTGTAAAGATGCTGAGATGCATGAACAATTCAAACAGGAATTAGCCTTACAATAAAACCTCCATCTACGTATGTGCTCCCTGTAAAAGCTGACGTGGGTGTTTCTGATAGTAGCTGGCTTTGTGTTTGTAGGTACCTGATGTGCAGTCATGCAGAGGACCTGCGAGCCAAAGCTGAGTGGGAGGGCAAAGGCACAGCATCGCGCACCAAACTGCTGGACAAACTCCAAAGTGAGTGCAGTGACTCACACGGTCACATGTCAGTGCGTACACTGGCTGACAAGCAAAGGAGTAACTCCTATACGCAGTACCCACTCTGAAATTCTCTTACTGGTTCCCAGTTGACATTAGCATCTATTTCCTGACCAGTTATTATTCGTCCCTGGAAGGAGCCTTTTTTTCCAAATAGCAGCATATTCTGGATATAAAATTTCAAATGAGTAATAACGATCTTTGTATGCAGGTGTGATCACAAGTGCTTTGAAAATCACCAAAAAACCCACCTGACATAGATTTGGCTGATCTTACATTAAAGATGCACAACAACCGTCGCCTCAAGGTGCTTTATATTGTAAGGTAGACCCTACAATCACATGACCCTATGAGCAGCACTTTGGTGACAGTGGGAAGGAAACTCTGCACGAACGCTGCACTGAGGTCTAGCAGGACAAGCACAGAGATGAGTCCACTGTCAGAGGCCATAAGAAGATCATTTGTAACCTTCACTAAAGCTGTTTCTGTG